TGTATAACAGCATTGCTATTATCAAGTGCTGAAAAATCCTGAGACAGGCCCCAAAAATCATGAGATTGGCTCGAATCATGATTTTAAGAATAATACATTTGAAGTTCCTTTTATTTGTCTTCTGGCTTTTGAATCCCTATTGTTAATTTTTTTCCAGTTTCTTGGAGATTCTGGTATAGTTACATGACTCCAGGGTCTAAGGCTTCAGAAAAACCCCAACACATCAGATATTGCAAGCCACACGATAAACTCATGGGCATTGGCAACACTAGGACAGAAGCGTCAGTAGAAGTATGGAGTATAGCTAGCCAGGAATTTGTTTTCGGGTAAAAAAAAAATTTTTTTTTACAAAAATGAAAAGAACGCATTTGTCTCCTTTTCTACAATTTGAGTTTTTGTTGAAAAACCAGAAAACACAAAAAATGTGGCCACTCTGACAAAATGTTTGGTTTTACAGAAAATTTTTACCTGACTAGCCAAATTTTTCATTTTCAAAATTTTGTTGTTTTTAATGAAAACCCCCCAAATGTTTCAAACAGACATCTCCTTCAAAAATTACTAGTTGGGTTGGGGGTGGTGGTGAAAAGAAAGCCGTTAAAAGAAACAAACCAACAAACATTTTGAACAAAAAATATCAACCCGTCCTAGCTAGGAGTGCTAGCCAAGGAGCATTGTTCTGGAGCTGGCTAGAGAGCCAAGGTCCTCAGGCTATGTAGGGAGACTGGTGGTGTTGATATCCTGTGCTGTGTATTGTTTTTGTTCTGTTCATTTTCTCCATACTGTTGTGGGTGCGAAGGACACCTTATTCTCGCCCCCCCCCCCCGCACTCCCGCCCAATAAAAATCCCACAGCTACCCCAACAATCAAAATCTGGACAACCTCTTAGTATATCTGTTACAACCAAAGATCTTTGCAGTGATATTAAGATAGACTCAGGAAGCAGACCTGTTGAAAGCCTCTGGGTAAGGATAAAAGAGGTAAAAAAAAAACCAAGGGTGATGTCTACTATAGACCAGTGGTAGGTGTCTACTATAGACCACCTAACCAGAAAGAAAAGATGAAGCTTTTTTAAAAAACTAGTAAAATCATCCGTAACACAGAACTTGGCAGTGGTGGGGGACTTCAACTACCCAAACATCTGTTGGGAAAATAATACAGCAGGGTACAGATTATCCAACAAGTTCTTGGAATACATTGGAAGCAACATTTTTTGTAAATAACAGAAGATGGAGAAAGTGAGTAGGGGAGAGGCTATTCTAGATTTGATTTTGACAAATAGAGGGAAACTAGTTGAAAATTTGAAGGTGGAAGGCAGCTTGGGTGAAAGTGATTATGAAATGACGGAGTTCATGATTCTAAGGAATGGTAGGAGGGAAAAGAGCAGAATAACGATAATGGATTTCAAGAAGGCAGACTTTAGCAAACTCAGAGAATTGATACATAAGAACCTATGGGAAGCAAGTCTGAGGGAGAAAAAGAGTTCAGGCGAGTTGGCAGTTTTTTAAAGAGACGTTAGTAAGGGCTCAAGAGCAAAGTATATCAATGCATAGGAAAGATAGGAAGTGTGGTAAGAGACTCCCCTGGCTTAAACAGAGATCTTCAATGACCTGAAACTCAAAAAAGAGTCATACAAAAAGTGGAAACTAGGTCAAATTACTTCCCAAAGAGTGAATATAAAATAAACACAAGCATGTAGGGACAAAATTAGAAAGGCCAAGGCAAAAAACAAGATTAAACTAGCTAGGGGCATAAAGGGCAACAAGAAAACATTTTACAAATACATTAGAAGCAAGAGGAAGACCAAGGCTTTTGATACTGTCTCACATGACCTTCTCATAAACAAATTAGAGAAATATAACCCTGACGAACGTTCTATAAAGTGGGATCACAACTGGTTGGAAAACCATACTCAAGAGACTAGTTATCAATGGTTTGCAATTAAGCTGGAAAGAGACACTGAATGAGGTCCAGCAGGGATCTGTCCTGGATCTGATAGTCAGTTTATTTATAAATGATTTGGATAATGGCATAGAAAGTACACTTACAAAGTTTGCAGACAAAAGTATGAACGCAAAGCACAACGCTTCTGAAGGGCTAATTAATTGGACAAATACAAAATGGGAAACAACTGCTTAGGAAGGAGTACTGCAGAAAAGGATCTGGGGGGTTATAGTTGATCACAAACTAAATATGAGTCATCAGTGTAATACTGTTGCAAAAAAAGTGAACATCATTCTGGGATGTATTAGCAGGAGTGTTGTAAGCAAGATATGAGAAGTAATTCTTCTGCTCTACTCCACATTGGTAAGCCCTCAACCGAAGTAGTTGTGTCCAGTTCTGGGTACCACACTTTGGGAAAGATGTGGACAAACTGGAGAAAGGCCAGAGGAGAGCCAAAAATATTATTAAAGGTCTAGAAAACAGTGACCTACAAGGAAAGATTGAAAAAATAATTGGAGTTTAGTCTGGAGAAGAGAGGACTGAGCGGGGACACAAATATGTAAAAGGTTGTTGAAAAGAGGAGGATGATAAATGATTCTCCTTAACCCATGAGGACAGGACAAGAAATAATGTGCTTAAATTTGCAGCAAGGGAGGTTTAGGTTGGACATTAGGAAAAAACTTCCTAATTATAAGGATAGTTAACCACAGGAATAAATTGCTCAGGGAGGTTGTGGAGTCTCTGTCATTGGAGGTTTTTTAGAACGGGGTGGGCAAACTACAGCCCGCAGGATTGCTACCCCCGTGGCACCTTGGGTCCCGTGCCGCTCCCGGAAGCGGCCAGCACCATGTCCCAGGGATGGTATAGAAGATAATACTTAGTCTTGCCTCAGTGCAAGGGACTGGACTATAGATGATCTATTGAGGTCTCTTCCAGTCCTACATTTCTATGATTGATAGGTGCATACAAGACACCAATTCCTCTTTTTAGCAATTTACAGTCTAAATAGGGATGCACAAATGACAAGAGATCATGCTTGGTGAGGGGAAGAAGGGGAGAGAGAACAAGGAGTAGATATTCCAGAGGAATATGTATTTGCTTATGGGCAGAAGATCCTGAATTATGCACTATTTTGTCAGTTGGGAAAGGATTTTTTTTCAGTGAATCACTTGTAATTAGTGAAAATAACTTGTATGGTGGATCATCCTAAACTGTTCAGAAGAATCCTTGTTTAAGGAGTAATTTGAGTGAAGGAAATATGATCAAATGGAAACAAAGTTTGAAACTATTCCAAACTTAACGTGCATCACGGAAGAAGATGTAGCTGTGTGAGGAACAAACAAAGGGAGCAGCCAAGTGTCTGGTTTATACTGAGTAAAGGCAATGAGTGGAAAGAGATAAGATCACAAATGTAAGCAGAAGCAGAATATTTTTAGAGCCTTTAAAGCAAGGATGAGAAACATGAGGGGAAGGTGTCTTTTGGCAGCAGCATTTGTATGGGCTGAGGCCTTCCATGACAACTGACCCAAGGTGCAGAGAAGAGTGTTGACACGATGATTTGAAGTAAGGTTAGATTGGAAGTAGTAATAGGGTGGATTGGGGGTGGAGGTATATGCTGGTGTTTGGGGATTGTGGGGATAGTGACATTATGAACAATTAAAAAAAAAAGGAGTGAGGGGGGAAGAGTTAAGGGAGGTGGGAGAAGAGATCAATTCTGGTGATGCTGGGTTTGCACTGGCAGCAGGACGTTCAGGATTGAGATGTTTTGGAATCAGAGCTACAAGACAGAATTTTTAAAAAACCTGAAGTACAATGAAGAGCTTTATAGTTACCAAATTATACTAGCATCTCTCATAACACTTTCATTACTAACTCAAGGAGCAGCTACTTGAAGAGGGAAGTAGATGCTTTAATTTCCCTTTGGTTGCCATAAAGTTGACTGCTATCTCTCTCTTTAAAAATATGGGAGAAGTGGCAGTCTCCCAAAATCTTTTCTCATGGATTCCCAGAGTCACTCATGCAGACCTGGTGGCAGTAATTTGACTCTCTGTAACTTAATTTTTTTAAATTTAAGAACTATAGCCAAGATGTCCAAAGATAGGATCTTAAAGTTAGGCTTCTGAGTTTATGTGAAACTTCCTAAATAAGTTACCAGACTCTCAAAAGTGCTGAAGTCAGCGGGAGCTGCATAGGGTTGCCAACCCTCCCGGTTTCTCCGGGAGTCTCCTGGAATCTGGCTCTATCTCCCGGAGGCTACAGAAGCCAATCCGGGAGATTTTAGGCTGCTAAAAGTCTGGCGGTGCAGTGAGGCTAAGGCAGGCTCCTTGCCTGTCCTGGCCCCACGCCGCTTCCGGAAGCGGCCAGCACATCCCTGCTCCCTTGCGGCCCCAGGGTGCGGGGGCAGGAGAACTCCGCAGCTCCCATTGGCTGGGAACTGCGGCCAATGGGCGCTGCGGAGTCGGGGCGGGGGCAGCACGCAGGCCGCTTCCGGGAGTGGCATGGGGCCAGGGTAGGCAGAGAGACTGCCTTAGCCCCACTGTGCCAGCAACCAGGAGCCCCCGAGGTAAGTGCCACCCAGCTGGAGCCCACATCCCTCACCCCCTCCTGCACCCTAACCTCCTGCCCCAGGCTCAGCCTGGAGCCCCCTACTAAACTCCAAACCCCTTGGCCCCAGCCCACACCTCAACCCCCGTCTCAGCCTGGTGCAAGTGAGTGAGGGTGGGGGAGAGCAAGCGACAGAGGCAACGGGGATGAAGTGAGTGGGGTGGTGCCTCGGAGATGGGGCAGGGCAAGGGGTGGGGCAAGGGTGTTTGGGTTTGTGTGATTAGACAGTTGGCAACCCTAAGCTGCAGGGTGTTCAGCATTTTGAAAATAAGATTGGTGACTTGGCTCCTGTGTTTCGAACCCTTTGCCTTTTATTAAACGACTCTCATCCTTTTTTATGCATCGGCTATGGTGTTCATTAACTTTGGCTGCTCCTCTCATTTTGTGGGCTGCATAAATTACAAACCGCCTATGTACTCTGCCTCCGTCTTACTTTCTGTTGTTTCTCTTTGCAGTCCACTCCTTTGCATCTAGCAGCAGGCTATAACAGAGTTCGAATAGTCCAGCTTTTGCTTCAGCATGGTGCTGATGTTCATGCAAAGGACAAGGGGTATGTATATTGGTTTTTAATTAATTCTCTGGTTTCACTAGTTAGTTACATTTTAAGAATTATTTTTATCATTGTTCTGTTGTATGTTGTAATTCAGTCTGTATCTGAAAATGAGTTAATCTAAAATTGGAGATGAGAATTGGGGCACAGTTGTTTCCAGAATCAAAATTTTGTTTTTGTGGTAAATAATCTTTTGTAAAAGCCCAAGTGAGGATTGAAGTGGGATAGTGTGCTCCTTAGCTATGTAGATCTTCTATTTTATGGATTATTCCTTCATTAAATAAGTGCATTTTGAAATCTATATTGCTTGGTTCTTTATGGGTCCGCTGTGTTATTGGAAATTCTGTGCACAATTTTGAGTGTTGATGGACTTCTGGTTTTATTTTGGCAATAAAAAATGAACTCAAGGTGTGACAGACAAGAGGCATATTCAGTTACACTTTTCTGTGACCTGATTATTTTGTCAGGTATATGCATGTCAGCTCCATAAGATTTGCACGTGCACAACTGATGAGATAAACAAGCACCTAGTTTCACAGCTATTACCAGCAGTAAACATCATAGGAAGAGAAGACAGCAGAGCAGTCTTTTCTAAGGTGAATTAACATATTTCATAGATTACTCGGGCTAGTTAAGTCCAAAGCTGACTGCAAAGAGTTACAAAGGGATCTCAGAAAAACTGGGTGAGTGGGCAAGAAAGTGGCAGATGAAATTCAGTGTTGATAAGTGCAAAGTAATGCACAGTAGAAAACAAAATCCCAACTATATATACACTATGGTGGGATCTAAATTAGCTATTACCACTGAAGAAGATCTTGGAGTCATTCTGGATAGTTCTCTGAAAACATCTGTCCAATGTGCACCATCAGTCAAAAGGGCTAACAAAATGTCAGGAACCATTGGGAAAGGGATAGAAAATAAGAAAAGAAAACATAATATTGTCTCTATATAAATCCATGGTTCACCCACACCTTGAATACTGCATGCAGTTCTGGTTACGCCTTCTCAAATAAGATATAGTAGAGTTGGAAAAAGTACGGCGAAGGGCAACAAAAATGATTGTGGGTATGGAAAAGCTTCTGTATAAGGAGAGATTAAGAAGACTGGGGCTTCTTCATCTTAGAAAAGATGGCTGAGTCCTATGATAGAGGTCTGTAATAACACTAATGGGGTGGAGAAAATGAATAGGGAAGTGTTAACTTACACCTTCATGCAACACAAGAACTACGAGTCACTCAATGAAGTTAATAGACAGCAGATTTAAAACAAACAGACGGAAGTACTGCTTCACACAACACACAGTCAATCTTTAGAACTTGTTTCCAAGAGTGTTGTGAAGGCCAATAGTATAAAACAGGGGTCGGCAACCTTTCAGAAGCGGTGTGCCGAGTCTTCATTTATTCACTTTAATGTAAGGGTTTCGCATGCCAGTCATACATTTTAACGTTTTTTAGAGGGTCTCTCTCTATAAGTCTGTGTATTATCTAACTAAACTATTGTCGTATGTAAAGTAAACAAGGTTTTCAAAATGTTTAAGAAGCGTCATTTAAAATTACATTAAAATGCTGATCTTACGCCGCCGGTCCACTCAACCTGTTGTCAGCCTGGGGTTCTGTTCACCTAGGCCAGCAGCAGGCTGATGGGGGCCTGCGGCCGGGACCCCGGCTGGCAAGGGGTGGGCAGCCAGAACCCCAGACTGGCAGTGGGCTGAGCGGGGCCGGCGGCCGGGACCCTGGCAGGCAAGGAGCCGGCAGCCAGAACCCCAGACTGCCAGTGGGCTGAGAGGGGCCGGTGGCCGGGACCCCAGACCGGCAGTGGGCTGAGTCGCTCAGCCCGCTGCCAGCCTGGGGTTCCGTCCACCGGCTCCTGCCAGCCAGAGTCCTGGCTGCCGGCTCCACTCAGCCCACTGCCGGTCTGGGATCCCGGCCCTGCCCACCTGGAGTGGGTACCTACCTTCTCACTGGCTCTAGCCCATTCTCTTCCTCTCTCTCTGCACTGAGCTGAGGGTGGGAGTGCACTGAGCACAGGGCTGGGGGTGAAGGAGCAGGCTGGGGGTTGCGGTGCAGGGTTTGGCCAGGAGCTAGAATGCGGGAGCGGGCTCAGGGTTGGAGCAGGAGGTTTGGATGTGGAGTGCCTACTTGGGCAGCTTCCATTTGGTGCAAGGGGTGCAAGTGGGAATGTGGGGGGTGGTGCAGGAGCTCCCGTTTGGTGCTCGGGGTGGGGGTGGGAATGTGGGGGGTGCAAGAGTCAGGGCATGGGTGTGGGGGGGCTGGGTATGTGTGTGGGGTGCAGGAGTCAGGGCTGGGGGCATGTGAGGAGGGTGCAGGAGTCAGGTCAGAGGGCTGGGGGCATGAGAGAGGGTGCAGGAGTCAGGGCATGGGGTGTGAGGGGGCTGGGTATGTGTGGGGGTGCAGGGGTCAGGGCAGAGGGCTGGTAGTGTGTGTGGGGGGGGTGCAGGGATCAGGGCTGGGGTGTGTGGGGGGGTGTAGGGGTCAGGGCAGAGGGCTGGGGTGTGGGCTAGGGTTGTGGGGGCACTTCCAGCCCCCTGCCCAGAGCAGCTATAACGAACTTGCTTTGGCCTCGAGTATTTCTGTTATTAATAGTCACGTCCTGCCCCCTGACTGACCCCTCAGAATGCCCGACCCATCCAAACCCCTCTGCTCCTCGTCCCCTGACTACCCCCTCCAGAGACCCTCCTCCCCTAACCACACCTCCCAAGAGCCCACCCCCTATCTAAGCCCCCCTGCTCCTTGTCTCCTGACCGCCCCCTCCAGAGACCCAACCCCGTCCCTAATCATCCCCAGGACCCCACCCTCTACCCAATCCCCCTGCTCCCTGTCCCCTAACTGCCCCGACCCCTATCCACACCCCTGCCCCCTGACAGGCCCCCCGGGACTCCCACGCCCTATCCAACGCTCCCATCCCCTGACCGCCCTGCCCCCAGAACCTCCGAACCATTCAACCCCCCTGCTCCCTGTCCCCTGACCGCCCCCTGAGACCCTCTGCCCCTTATCCAACCCCTCGGCCCCGGCCCGGCACCCTTAACATGCCGCTCAGAACAGCATGTCAGAGCCTGATGCGCTGATCCGCTGGAGTGCAAAGCCCCGCCCCCCCCCGAGCGCTGCTTTCCGCATTATATCCAAATTCATGTTATATCGGGTCACGTTATATCAGGGTAGAGGTATAATTGTGAGTGCTATTTCTTAACATTAATGTATGGTAGATTAAACACTTATGTTACATTACTCAAAAATGTTTTTATGCTATTCTTAATCAGCGCATTATTCTGAAAATAAATGTAAATGTATTTGGTTAAGATTCCATTTGATTTTGAAATCTGCTAATTTTACAGCCTGAAAATACTTCAGAAGTCTTTGAAAATGCTTCCTAGATATGTAATTTTGTTTTGTTTTATTTAATCTAGCGGACTTGTACCTCTTCATAATGCATGTTCATATGGACATTACGAAGTCACAGAATTGTTACTTAAGGTAAGTGGAGAAATGGAAGAAAACATGAGCATTGCAATATTGCAAAATTACGGAGAGAAATAGTTACATCATACAATAGTTAAGACTGTAGCCTTATTTCTGTTTTTTTAAAAAAAAAATTGTGATTTTCACACCTGTAATATATTATTTCAGTTGTGTGGGGCTTTGAGCCTTTAGACATACACCAGTACCACTGAATTAAGTATGTGTTTTTTCCGCATAATCTCGGCAGACAAGCATTAGAATTTAGTTAACTGGAATTTTTTTGAAACAAAGGTGTCTCAATAAAAATTAAGTTCATTGCAAAGTTCAGATTTTGGTAGATGAAGATAAATCAATTATTTTTCATTTCATTTGAAAATAACTTAATGAGTGTTAAAGTTATAAAAATGAAAACCTTGTGATCTTTGTCATGGTTATCTCTTATTACTAACATAAAAATTTCTTTCCCACTCCTAGCATGGAGCCTGTGTTAATGCTATGGATCTCTGGCAGTTTACCCCCTTACATGAAGCTGCTTCCAAGAATCGTGTAGAAGTCTGCTCTTTGTTGCTTAGTCATGGTGCAGATCCAACACTGGTCAACTGCCATGGCAAGAGTGCTGTCGATATGGCTCCAACACCTGAGCTAAGGGAGAGACTGACTTGTATGTATTTCAACCGTGAAATAATTTTTAATATAAACTGACTCACCTTTCAACCCAGTTCCTTGTTAGTAATGGGAAATGCAAAACAACAGGATATAGAGGTGTCCATTTCTCACTTCTAAACTTGTAGAGATCTATACATGTTCTCCTTCATGAAATTGCCTTTATTCATAGCGTTTAAGGCCAGAACGGATTGTTAGATCTTGTCTGACCTCCTGCACAACACAGGCCAGGGAATTTCACTTAGTTACCCCTGTAGTAATCCCTATAACCAGAGGCAGATTAAGGTTTCCTGGGGCCCTGGGCCAGAGCAAGGCCCCTTCCGCCTGAGGCCCCGCCCCCATTCTGCCCCTTCCACCTGCAGCCCCACATCTTTCTGCCCCTTCCCCAAGGCACACCCCTGTTCCACCCAAGGTCCCCACATTCTCCCCCTCCACTGCAGCCCTGCAACCCCTTTCCCTCCTTTCTCCCCCTCCCTCCCCTCTGCGCCCACGATACCTGAGAAGCTCTGTCCCTGCACCATGGCCCTGGGGTGCAACAAGGAATGAGAGCTCCTCCAGTCCCTGGCCGCAGCGGGGGTCTGGGTGACCAGGGTCAGGGCACTGGAGCTTCTCCCCCCTTGCCTCCTCTTCCCCTCCCCCCCCAGGCTTCTGCCAAAAGCAGGGTTCTGCTGAGGGAGGAGGGGGCGGGGGAGGGGGCTTCCCCTGTGTCACCTCTTCTGCTTGGGGGAGGGGAGGCTTCCCACGGCTTCTGCTGGGGACAAGGTCTCTGCTGGTTAGGGCTTTCCCTGTCCTGTGGCTTCTGATGAGGATGGGGCCTCTGGGTGGGGAGGGGCTTCCCCCATCCCACAGCTTCTGATGGGGATTGGGTCGGGCTGGGGCCGCTGGAAGGAAGGGGGAGCTTCCCCCATCCCACGGCTTCTGCCAGGGCTGCGGGTGTTGGGGGGGATTCCCCCACCCACCCAGAGTTGCTGCCAGGGCATGGAGTTGGGGCCTGCAGTTTCTCCCACCCTGCCGGCCTAGTGGCCGGAGCTCCCAGCTTCTGCTGCCCTGAGGGGGATTTTTCCCGGACCCCGCCCCACAGTTGGCCAGGCCCCCAGGGGGCTAATCCGCCACTGCCTATCGCTTGGGTTTGACTAAAGCATATCTTCCAGAAAGCCATCCAATCTTGATCTAAAGACTTAAAGAGATAGAGAATCCACCACTTTCCTTGGTAGTCTGTTCCAATCACTCTCTCTGTTAAAAATGTGTGCTTTAATTCTGATCTGAATTTGGCTGGTGTGAATTTATAGCCACTTGTTCTTGTTATGCCTGCCCCCGGTAGATTAAAAGGCCCTTTGGTACTCAGTATTTTCTTCCCATGAAGATACTTCTACGCTGTAGTTAAGTCTCCTCTGAATCTTCTCGTTGACAAGCTAAGCAACTGAGCTCTGTTCGTCTCTCGCACTAAGGCATTTTTTACAGCCCTTAAATCATTTGTGATTCATCTCTGCACCCTCTTCAGATTTTCAGCATCCTTTTTAAAATGTGGGTACCAGCACTAAACACAGTCTTCCAGTATCTGTCTCACCAATTCCGTCTACAGAGGTAAAATCACTTCCTCACTCCTACTCACTGTTTATACATCCAAGAATCGCACTGGTCCTCTTTGCCACAGTATTGCAGTGGAAGCTTATCTTGCATTGCTTCTCTACTATGACCCCAAAATGCTTTTCATTAGAGCTTGTCAAATGATTAACAAAATTAATTGCGCTTAATCGTGAGATTAAAAAATAATTGCAATTAATTGCAGTTTTCATCTCACTGTTAAACAATAATAGAATACTGTTTGTTTAAATATTTGTTGATGTTTTCTACATTTTCAAATATATTGATTTCAATTACAACACAGAATACAAAGTGTACAGTGCTCACTTTATATTTTTTATTACAAATATTTGCACTGTAAAAAGATAAACAAAAAAGTAGTATTTTTCTATTCACCTCATACAAGTACTGTAGTGCTCTTTATCGTGAAAGTGCGACTTACAAATGTAGAAGTTTTTTTTACATAACCACACTCAAAAATAAAACAGGGTAAAACTTTACAGCCTACGGATTCACTCAGTCCTACTTCTTGTTCAGCCAATCGCCAAGACAAATAAGTTTGTTTACATTTACAGGAGATAATGCTGCCTGCTTCTAATTTACAAGGCCACTTGAAAATGAGAACAGATGTTTGCATGGCACTGTTGTAGCTGGCATTGCAAGGTATTTATGTGCCAGATATGCTAAATATTTGTATGACCCTTCATGCTTCGACCACCATTCCAGAGGACATGCTTCCATGCTGATGACGGGTTCTGTTCAGTAACGATCCAAAGCAGTGCAGACTGATGCATGTTCATTTCCATCATCTGAGTCAGATGCCACCAAGAGAAGATTGATTTTCTTTTTAGGTGGTTCGGGTTCTGTAGTTTCCAAATCAGAGTATTGCTCTTGTAAGACTTCTGACGGCATGTCCCACACCTCATCCCTCTCAGATTTTGGAAAGCACTTCAGGTTCTTATCCCTTGGGTCCAATGCTGTAGCTCTCTTTAGAAATCTCATCCTGGTACCTTCTTCGTGTTTGGTCAAATATGCAATGAAGGCATTCTTAAATCGAACAATATATGATCGGTCATCATCCGAGCCTGCCATAACACGAAATATATAGCAGAATGTGGGTAAAAGCAGGAGACGTATAATTGTCCCCCAAGGAGTTCAGTCACAAATTTAATTAACACATTTGTTTAACAAGAGTCATCAGCATGGAAGCATGTCCTCTGGAATGGTGGTCGAAGCATGAAACTTCTGTCACCTGCTACTCAGTACTCTGACACACCCCATTCTGACAGCTCCATTGGCACCGCCATTTGTGGAAGTCTCCAATTCTGAGGATACAAATGTTTGGCGTGGCCTGCCACTCCTGTTTCAGAAGCACAACTACTGAAGGGTTCCGACGGCACCATGACAGTTTCCCACTTTGTCTTACCCACAGAGGTAGTACCCAGGTCTTTGAGCACAGGCTCAACAGCAGCAGGATCAACTGGGTTGGTCATATTGGAGCTCATGGCTTCAGTATTCACCTTGAGAGTGGTCCCGTTCAACTTGGGAGGATTCCCCATCTTGCCCCGACAACCTTAGTCCGGTTAGACGTTCGGACATGGGGTTAGACGATGCACCGATTAGCCCGATTCTTATGGTACTGGCGGATCTGGAGAGATTCCCTTTGTCGTCTCCAAATGTTGCCATGTCATCAACACCTTCCTCCCCACCAGACTACTGACGGTTTCAAGAGCTCCTACGGAGGCTAGCCAATACTCTTGAGATCCTACTAGAAGAGGTGCAGGACAGTCATCATCATCATCTACTAGACATTCTGCACACATCAGTACTGGCAATGGTGGCTCTACCAATCAATGAGGCCATTCTTTAACCAGACCGCAACATGTGGCATACCTTGGCCATATGCACACTGACTCCGAAGGGGGCCGAGAAAAGATGGGCCGAGAGAAGATACTACGTCCCCCCTAAGGGGGCAGAATTTCTATTTTCACACCCTCCACCTAACTCCTTGGTGGTACAGGCTGTGTCGGAGTGGACGAAACAACACCAGTGCTCCACCCTGGCAGACAGGGAGGGTAAGGCACTGAACCTTATGAGTCAAAGGTCTTCTCTGCTGGACTACAGTTCTGGATCTCTGACTACTTGGCACTGATGGCCAAGTATGACTTTATAAACTCTGGCCGGATGGAAGAATTTACAGACAAGTTACCCCAACAGGATCATAATCATTTTTACAGGAAAGCAAGTTGGTCACCATATCCATACTTCAAGCTGCAGTTGATTCAGCGGACATATCCTCACGTGTGTTAGCAATGGGAAGTGTCATGAAGAGGGAATCCTGGTTACAGTCCTCAGCTTTCCCTAGAGAGGTACAAAACACAATACAAGGACCTTCCATTTGACGAGTCAGACCTCTTGAACCAGAAAACTGATGATTACTTACACTCACTAAAAGTCTCTAGAGCCAACTTACAATCCGTGGGCATTTGGAACCAAAAAGAAAAAATTTATAGCCCACTGCAAAGCCGATGCTGTAGAACAGCCCATTTCTATCACCAATGAGCCTTTGAGCCTCCTCAGAAGCACCGTAAGGTGCACAGAACCCATCCACCTGTTTGGGCAACACAGACCCCTGCACAACACACTCAATTGTCGTGAAAATGGTATTTCTGAGTGCGGCTAGAGAGCTGTCAACCACTCTGTATACCAATGTTCCTACCATGAACCCCTTTTGGGCGTCATCTCAAACTCTTTCTACCAGCATGGAGAACTATAGCAAAGGACAAGCGGACATCATTCAACGTAGCTACACCTCGAGTTTATGATATCTCCTCCATATCCCTTCCTAACCTCCCTGCTGAGATCACTCTCATGATAGTATTCTTACTAGGGCTGCCAATTAATCGCAGTTAACTCACGCGATTAACTCAAAAAAATTAATCGCAGTTAAAACAATAATTGTGATTAATCATACTGTTAAACAATAGAATACCAATTGAAATTTATTAAATATTTTGGATGTTTTTCTACATTTTCACATATATTGTATTCTGTGTTGTAATGGAAATCAAAGTGTATATTATTTTTTATTGCAAATATTTGCACTTTAAAAATGATAAAAGAAATTGTATTTTTATACAAGACTGTAGTGCAAACTCTTTAATTGTGAAAGTGCAACTTACAAAATTTTTTTTTTACATAACTGCACTCAAAACAATGTAAAATTTCTGAGCCTACAAGTCTTCAGTCCTACTTCTTGTTCAGCCAATTGCTAAGACAAACAAGTTTGTTTACATTTACAGGAGATAATGCTGCCCTCTTATTTACAATGTCACCAGAAAGTGAGAACAGGCATTTGCATGGCACTTTTGTAGCTGGCATTGCAAGATATTTACATGCCGGATATGCTAAACA